TCCAGCTGAAACTATTTTGTTCTTGGATTGTTTCCCTTTCTTTCCTAACAGCCTTATATTTCAGGCTCTCAGGTTCTCATGACTACTGTTTTGATGCCACTGTACAATCACACCATCTAAGAAATGAGAAAAAGTATATCTAATCTTACCCAAAATTATCAGCAGGGATCCCCAAAACAAAAAGTAACGGTGTAAAACTGTGACAAGCAGAAAGAAAAAGACAGCAAAATTCTTGAGACCAAAGGCCCTTACACTTCTGAGGCATAATCTGAGGAAAAGTGGGGAAAATGTTGTGCACCAAACAAAAGCTATTACCACAGAGTCCTTAAAGAAACCATTTTATGCATTTTGCTAATTATAGAAAATTGGGTTATGAAAAACAAACTCTGGAAGACACAAGCATTCCTAATCTGGGCTAACACTGCTTCTTCACATTGTTTATTGGCAGTGAGATCAATGTGGAGGTTTTTTCCCTGTTCTTCTGTTTGTTTCTCTACTACAAGACATATAAGTACATAACTATTCATTGCAGCACATACACGTTCCATGCTGTTGTACTATTTTTATTTAGGCTTTCCCTGTGCTGCTGATAGTGAACTAGCAGTACTTCTGATGCAGTGAGGAAAAAGAGAGCATTGCTTCCTTCTACTGTTTTTTCCCAGACTTGTGATGCATTCTGCCATGTTTTTTGTTTTTACAGAAGAGGGACCATAGTGCAATGAATCTTACTTTTGAAGTCATATATTTCACAAATTATCAGTCAAGAACCAATTTTTACACACCATTTTAATTCTTTGCTTGTTCCAGATGAATTTATAGTATGTACATTCTAGGTGTTTTTGTAGCTACACTGTGAGTCAGAAACACTCCACAGTATGCTTATAGGTCCTGGACCTTAGCTCAGCCGGGCCGAGAAAATCACACACCAAATTTCTTCTCAGTGAAAGCTAGGTCATAGAAAGAATGGAGAGAATCTGTACAGTGAGAAGGTATGTGCCAGGAACCAGAAAGTACTTCTGAATGCCAAAGATTAGCAGTAGTCTGAAATTGTCCATACCTCATGATAGCGTCCCAGTAATTAATGTCCACATGGCTTCTTCGTTTCCATCCACTTGATTTCCACTGCATTCAGAAATTCTGGTGTTAGGATGGGTTGCACTGCTATCATTGCATCATCCTACTGGCACAACTTTGCAGATAATTCTGCAGGGCTGATCTGTGCTATTTTGCATATTGGTCTGTGTATCTGATAATGCCACCCTTACCATTGCTTTGGCCCCTTGCCAGGATCAGTCATTTCAGGCTTAAAACACTCAAAGTGAGATTGCTCTCATTGTCACAGGAGTTACAAAACTGCTCTGCTTTTGTACAAATCCATGCAGTATTTCTTTTCCTATCATTCAGTTCTCTAAAATGAAATACAGCTCCTAATAGATATCACTAGAATATGGGTACAAAACAATACCCTCTTCCCTGTTTCTGGACAAACATCTTCATTTATTTCAGCCTAGGTGATTGTTCCAAATGTACCAAAATTCACTGGCTTTCTCTCTGCTTTCTGCTTCCTCTGCTGTCTTGTGGGGCTGGATTCTTTTTTTTTTTTTTTTTTTCATTAAAAGACAAAGATGTGAAGCTTCTCAAGCCACAGCAGCCACAAAAAGAAGGTCAGTAGCTGTCAGTATTAGACAACAGCAATAAAATTAAACTGCAAAATGCAGCAGTATCAGCCTGTTGTGCTGTTCAACATGGTCAGCACTCTATCATTCTCCCAGCACATCATTTCTCTGATTTCTGTTAGCTAGAACAAGATGCTATATAAACGTACCTTTGCATTCTTTCTATTTAGCCCTTTGTAATTTTCACTGGACAGAGTGATATTTATTTTGGAACTTCTTAAATGAAAGAGTCTCTTACTTGTCTAAATGTTTCAACATTCAGAATGCTTACAAGTATTTATCTGTTTGTACTTTGAGCTTTCTGTTTCTCTGGGTATTTATTAGCCTCTGTTAAGACTAATAAAGACATTCTCACAAGTTTTGCCACTACTCTTCTGTGTTTTCCCTTTTGCATCTATTTCTCTTCCTTCATACTCAATTTGTCTTTATTTTACTTAAGATTTGTACGTGTCAGTTTACAAATGGATTAAGAAATAAGAAAGTCTTCTGACAGGAGCAGTCACATGCACTGGTTATCAGAAGATTCACTATTTCTATGTTTATCCATTATACAAATACCACAGACCAACCAGTGCCAGTAAGAACACTTCTGGTGGTTTGAGTACTGTCGAGCACTCACTGATACCATATATGCACTTTTTCTGCACTTCCTTTTGCCATTTAGGATGTCTGCCAGGGGCCTGACAACATAGTTGTCTTCTTCTGTGCTGGCTGTTCCTTCCTGTGTGCTTTTGAACAAGTGGTGGCAGCAGCTCCTGACTGAGAAGTTGGGCTGTGTCCGTTAACTAATCCGATGGATTGGTTTTGGCGTTGTGCTTACATATTTGTTGAAGACACATGGATGTTCTTTCATAAGCGTGCTATGTACAATATACAGCAGATGCAGTCTTGTAAGAACTGCATCAGTACAGGTTAGGGGCTGACCTGCTGGAAAGGAGCTCTGCAGAGATGGACCTGAGTGTCCTGGTGGTCAGCAGGTTGACGATGAGCCAGCAGTGTGCCCTCTGGGCCCAGAAGGCCAATGGTACCCTGGGGTGCATTAAAAAGAGCGCGGCCAGCAGGGAGGTTCCTCCTCTCCTATTCTGCCCTGGTGAGGTCACATCTGAAGTATTGTGTCCAGATCTGTGCTCCTCAAGCCAAGTTCAAGAAAGACAGGCACACTTCTTTTCTAGGATTACTCTATACAGTGCAAGGAGACTATAAGTAGCTGCAGAAACTCTGTAGAGAAGCTTGTATTTATTCTGATACCAATGAAGAGCCATTTTTTTATTTGCCTTCCTTATTCCTCCTCTTTTCCTGTTTATGACACAGCCCTCCTTTTCCTACCTGACAAATCTCACCCATCTAAAATCTGTGCCCCTAAATTTCTCTCAAAGCTGAGTGTAACAGGCTCTTCTCAAGCTTCCTGGTAGATAAAATCATGCCAGCTGCAGTAGTTCCTGAACAGTGCAGAGAGTTTTCTTCTTGCTTGATTTGGTTTGCTTCAGTTCAGAGTGCAGTACTGCAAGTGTTGAAGTCTATCATAGCAGCTTTTTGCTACCTCTGTTCTGAGAGCAGAGCTGATGCTCTTTTCCTCACAAGGAGACCACGGGCTACAGAATACACATCATTTCTCAGACATAGTTTATTACTTTTGCTGCATTAACACTAAAATAGGAAGAAGCATAATTTCCACAAAACAAGAATTTAAAGCACAGCAGTAGAAGTACCGCAGTTACAGCAGGATTTGTATCACACTCATCTAATTTATACTTTAACATTAAAAAGGGGCTTTTACTTTTGTGCAGTAGAAAATACAAAGTAAAGGAAAAGTGTTATTTACTGTGAGCATAGTTTTTGGTCTTTCCTTTTGTATACCTGTGGCTGTTAACCTCACAAGGGAGCAGCCAGAATGTAGTAGCTGGCAGGAGACCAGCTAACAGCTAATAGAAGTGGTGCCTTGAGGTAATAAGGCTGAAGAGGGAAGAGTATTCACACCACTGCAACAAGGGCATCTGATCCCTGAATTAAGAAGCTGATTTCTGGGTTCTTTTTGCAGTCAGACAAGTAATCTTCCCCAGAGGTCTTTCAAATCATGTCTGCTTCTGACTCAGGCATCTCTTTTTTTCCACTGGCACTGAAGGACCTTGATGAGATTTGCTGTTAATGTACGCATCTAAGTCACATGTGCAATGTTAAGAGGTGTGCAATCCCCTCTTCCATTCTGACATTGCCAGCAGGTTACTTGAAGCTGGCTTTACAGATTTCTGAGACTAAAACTTTGCATGCTTGAATGGTGCCCCTTGAAGGAAATGGGAAAAAAGCAGCACTGTTTGCCTGTGTAAGGAGTGTTTAACTGCACTTCCTTACGGTATAAAGCAACAGTTTAAAGTTCATATCACATCCTAGGATGCCCCTTTTTATTTACTGAAAAATTCTCAACAATGGCATAAATGTGTGGCTTGGCATAAAAGTGTTGCCATTACAGCACTAGGGTAATGGTCACTAGTCCTCAAAAAGCATGCAGTCCTGATCGTGTCAACAGGGCATCGTTCTCCTGAAATGGCAAGGCGGTTACATCTCTACAGATAGCTGCTCCTGTGCTTCCAAGGCTGCTGTCTTCCCAGAAGTCTGTCCCAAACAGCAGATTTACTGTGTAAGTCCAGAGCACATTTTTAGCATGCAGGAGCCTATTTTGACACACTTTCTGCATCTGCTGTAGAATGTCTCCCTCTACACATGTGAGAGAGGCCTCCACTCAGTACTATGCTCATGCTCTCCAAAATCCTCTGAAGGATTACGTATTTTCATATGTAATCATGCATCGTAGCTAGATGAAGTAAGATAACTTTAATTCTGTCCTTGCAGATCTCTGCTTTTACTGTCTAAGTGCTATTTCTCTGGAAGGGATCGAAGTTGTCAGAAACAAGTTCATGGTTGTTTGGGGGTACAACACTGACTTCTTATACACTTACTAGGCTTGCAGTTACTTGTAAAATTGCACCCACAAAAATGACAATCTTGTCCATTAAAAGCTCACCTTGGAAAATGTTAGCAGTCAAACAATGATATGATTGGCATAAGATTAAATACCTAAAATAAACATACTGTAACTTAGCCTATAGTAAAAAGGATTATGTTTAGAAACAAGTACCTTACAGATAAATCCTTGATTTAAGTGACCACGTAAGATAGAGTTCAGTCACCTCTCTCATTAGTGAAGAGAAGTTGTCTTGGTATCTTTCATCCTTATCCTTTTAATGGAAATGCCTCTTATTCATGTAGAAAAAATAAGGGAAAGAGGAGTAAAATGAAGAATACTGAAAGCTTCCCACTACAAATGGCTGACTGTTTCAGAAAGAATACTTTTATTTCCAAATGCAGTCAGGATTCTGGGTGTTCCATTCATGCTGTATACTGAACAGGTACATCAATCCTCAAAGCCTCCTCCCAGTCTTACATTGTTCATGTGGCTGTGAATAGATCTTGTGATATTACTTATTGCTCCTTCATCTATTTTATATTCTTCCCTAGTAAAAGCCATGAATATTTGTTCATCGGACAGAATATGGGTCTGCCATCAAAATCAAACAAGTCATTCTGTGATCAAGCTATGATACTAACAGTTAATGGGAAATGGTTGTTTCTCTTAGATTAACATCAAAAAATAGTGTGATCCAGGCAACTAACCCCAAGAATTGGCATAAAGATCTTCTACAATGTCGTCCACTTCGTCAGGCAAAGAGATGCAGCATTCACTAGCTAGACTCTAGAATTATTTTTACAATCCAGTAGAGATGTCGTGCTCGGCAGTTGATGCTGTAAATGTGGAACTAACTCTTTCTAATTTTTCACGATAAAGAGATGGACACTTTTTGCACAGGTGAGCTGCAACATGCTTACGGAAAAATGTATGAAGATATTTCCTAAATTTTTCTCCAACGAATGCATAGATCACAGGATTGATACAGCAGTGGATCATTGAAATTGTTTCTGTTACTTGAATTGTTTCGTCCAGCCTGGTTTGGCTATCACAATCTGGAGAAAAAAAAGAAGTTTGAAATGTGTGCACAAAAGAAGCAACATGGAACGGTGTCCAGAAGATGAAATAAAAAATCATGATGACAAAAATAAGTCGAACCGCCTTCTGTTTTTTCTCATTCCTGCATCTCAATAATGTTTTTAAAATTTGAGAGTAACAGAAAATCATAATGATCATTGGAATGATAAGCCCAAGAATGTTCATCTTTAAAATGTAGGAGTGCTTCCAATTTATTAGGCTATCTGGAGGATAATGAGCACTGCATGTATACTGTGTATTCTCCTGTTGAGTTTTGTGAAATACTATCCCAGGAACAGAGGCAAAAAGAGCAACAGCCCACGTGACAATGCTGGTGAGGATGCCGTAGGTAACTGTCCTAGCTTTTAAAGCAAACACTGCGTGAACTATGGCCAGATACCTGTCTATGGTCAGCAGGATTATGAAAAAGATGCCGCTGTAGAAGCCAAGGAGGTAAATGCCTGAGAGGATCCGGCACAGCGCTTCTCCAAAAATCCAGTCGTGAGCAGCATAATAAGCCCAAAAAGGAAGAGAAAATACAAACAGCAAATCAGAAATGGCCAGATTGAGCAGGTAGATGTCAGTCATACTCTTCAACTTCTTGTATTTTACCAGGATAAGGATAACAAGAATGTTGCCTATGAAGCCAAATATCACCACCAATGAGTAAAGCGGTGGCAGAAAATTTGCTGCAAAGTGCTTTTCCTCTGTTCCCATGCATGGTGCTGTATCACCGTAGTCAAATGTTGTTGTTGGCATGTAACCCAAATCAATGGTATAGTTTTCCATTGTGTGCTGATCTGCAAAGGAAGAGAAGAGTGGTCAGCTGCAGGGAACTCTAGGCTTGGCAGGGAGGGGAATGAAACACAGCGATGGGGCCTAGCCTCATTGTGCCAACGTGCGCTGCAGCCCTCACCCAGGGGGGTCTGGCAGCATGAAGACTGCAGTGACTGCAAAGTCACTCTGTCATGAGTAGAACATAAGTGCAGTTTGTGGCTTCACGGGAGCCTCAGTGCCGCTAGGGACCATCTCTGGTGGTGTAGAAATGACCCAATGTAGAATGACTGACTGCACCCACCTGCTCACGTGCTGTAATGGCTGCTGGCGAGCAGCAAGTCAGTAGCGTTGGTCTGGGTTCCAATGGCAAAGGCTGTGTCCTCTTCAGAGTCTGGGTCAGGCAGGGGCCATGGAAATGGCTGGCCTTAGGTAACTCTGGAATAAAAGCTGTGTGCAGCCCTGTCTTGTGAGTGCTGTGCTGGACACGTTCAGCTGATGACCTGCAGGGATAATTGCAATGGAAAGAACAGGTAGGCAAACACCTGTCCAAATGGCATAAAGGGTTTCATTTGCTGTCAGCATGACTTACAAAAACACTGTTAAGAAAAAAAGTGTTATTTTATTTCTCCTAGAATTTGTTTTAAGCTTCTACTCCAGCTTTTACAGAAATAGCACCCTTGCTTAAATGATAAGTTTGATTTCAGTTTTTATTTTATTGAAATCACAATTTTGATGAACAATCTGTAATGTAGCAGCTTCACAGTTGCATGACCATAATATGAGAACTGTGTCTGTTGCCCCAATACACTGTCCCTCTGATTCTGATTGGAGAGCTGTGGAAGGAGCTGGGCTTGCCTGGCCAGGAGCACCACCATCTCACGGGGAAGTAGCAGTGCAGGGCCATGTGATACCCTGGGAGACTTCTGCTACAGTGCCAGCAGGGAAAGGCTTGAGAAGTGGGTGCCATCAATCCTTTCCTTTCTTGACACCAAAACCTCCTCCTGTCCCAAATGCCTGGTAGGACCAAGAGTCACCTAGATCCAGACCCAGATGCAGAAGCATAGCTTTGTGTAATTTTGTCCCTCAGAAATTAAGAAGATATATTTTTGCACAGGCCCCTAGAGAAGTCCACAGAATATCTGCATATCTGTGAGAAGCAGGGAAGAGGATTTTATGAAGACAGCCATTAGTGGAACCAAATGTGCTTCCCAATCAATTTGTGGGGGAGGGAAATTGATTCTTTAGGTAGCCACTGAAATAGAGCTACTTGTTGGGAGAAATGGCTGCTGCTTTTTTCCTGTATCATCATCCTGGATCCTGATGATTGCTTTTACGAAGCATTGCATTGTTGTGGCAGAATGATTGCTGCTCTCTCGTCAAGGCAGCAGACTGCTCACAACACAAAAAGCTTCAGACACTGTGTCTGCCCCAGCTTGCTGTGTGACCACTCAGATAACTCAGCAATCATCACTCCTTTCCTGTTTTGAACCCTGCTGTGCATTTCTTTTTCAATGGGAAGCTCTGTCCTCTCTCACTGCAGATGTCTTTTGCAGAAACCACACTCTGAAAGCCATCGCTTTTGTTTCTGCACTTGAGTTCTGCAAGACTAAGTTGAGCTGAAGAAGCTCTGCAAGTCAAAATCTTGTCAGTGGTTAGTGGCAATGAGGCTGCCCTCCAGTCTGCTTCTTTAAATCATGTCTTCTGCACTTCAGCATTTGTGCTGCTTTAAGAGTATCCTTGCTAGCTCTTGAGTACTAGCTATTATGAATACACTACCACTTGTAGCTATAGGAATGTCTAAGTGCTGGTATGGCTAGCAGACTTTTCCACAGACTTCCATGCTGAGGTAATTCAAGCTCAGAAAGTCCCTGGCCTGTTGCATTGACTCAGTCAGGGATGGCACATATCACAGTACACTGAGCTGAGCCCTGAGTGGGGTTTGCACAGAATTTCTTCATGGAAATCACAGTGTTCAATAACTACAAGTTACAGCAGCACCTGCATGTGAATGGAACCGCTCATCTGAATGAGTGGGTCATTCAAACTGAATGACCCACAAAGTTTTCTTTGCCTTTTTTAGGGCTGAAGACTATTTCTCCTTTCAAATATATAAAAGGGTTACAGAACAATACTTGCCCTGCCTTTGCTCCTCTCCTTTTCACAAGTTTGTCACAAAGAAAGAAAAACTAATCAATGAATTTTAGTCAGCTTAAAAGTGTGTCAGCAGTATCTAGTGCACTTTACAATGAGAGAGAATTAAAGTGTAGCATAGAGAAAAAACCTGGAATCTAAATAAATAACAGCTACATCCATATAGCAGGCACTGTGAGAGATGTGGCCAGTGTCCTCTGATAGCAGCTTTATTGATTTAACATTGTCTTGGTCTTTCTGGAAGGAGTTTCTGGACTGGCAAAACTACAGAGAAGTACGTGTGTTGGCCAAAGACACCTTGGCAAGCAAGCATTTGTTCATACTTCTCTTGAGTTACCAGAAAAGCCGAAGGAAAAGATAGAAGTACAAACTAAAACCTCTGAGCTGATATGAATGCATGATTTTCTGTGATGCAAACCACAGAATTTCTTTCCAGGATATGTCTGGAGAAAGACAGTCCCTTCCAAAATTAAACCCTGCTTTGGAAAGTTCTTCCTCTTTTATAACAGCTGAGCATTAGAAACATCTTCTTTTTGGAACTGCTTGCTTGACACTTGATTTATTTTTCTATTCCTGAAGAACATTCAAGGAAAAGGTACAATCATGCTGGAAAGAAAACAGGCTCAATTCTCTGTGAGTGCTCACAACCATTCTGAGGATGAACTGGAGTATGAAAAAGTAGCCTGGAGTGGATGAGATTCCCAACAAAGGTCGTGGTCATCCTGCCCTCCCCATATTACTGCCTTAAGGGTCACCCCACAGAGAAGTTCAAGACCACTGCCCAGGTGGTGCCAACTCTTCCTGGCAAATGACAGTGGAATTCTCCCATAAAAGCAATTGCTGCTATCAGCTACATACTTAATATACCGAAAAGGGGAAAAAAAAAAAAATTTTTTTTTTTTTTTTTTTTTTTTTTGGACCAAGTCTCATTTATCAAAGCAGAAGCATGAATAGTACAATTCCAGCAAGATACTGATGAACTTCATTCATGTAAAACCTCATTAAAGGGAAATTGCAAGCTAGATCATGACTGGCCATTAAACTGGCATCTACAGTTGAGACAGGGAGTACAGACTTTCAGAGACCAACCCAAAGAAGAGGTAATCCCAAAGGATCTTTTATAACATGATAATAAAAGCACCTTTAGCAAGTTAAATACTTGAATAACATAAAGAAAACAAACCAGACTGTGATGAGATAGTGATGATACATCCATATGTATCTGATAGAATAAGACGTGGCTAAGATTTCAGAAGGCTAGAAAAAATGAAAAGGATTTGATGTCTCATCAGTTTATATCCTTAGAGGAATCTATTTGCAAGCTATAGACCTCCCAGGACAGTTGAAAACCAATTAAGTTTAAATTACAAAAAAATATTACAATTTTCTCTACTATTTGTCCACTTCAATTCTCTGCTGTCACATTAACCTTATCCTGAGCTATAAGCTGGTTACAAGACCTAATTTTTATTAAAGACAATGTGTCTGCTTAAATGGCAGTTCTGCTCCCACTGTCATTAGGTACATCTATTTCCCCACTCAACAAATATTTATCTCTCTATACACACAAATTAAAAAAATGAGCTACTCACAGGTTTATCAAGCTTGTTTTATCAGACTGTGTCGTCGTCTTCTTTGTGAACAAGCATATAGTTAAACCCTATCTCTGAAAATAGGAAATAGAACTTCCTGTGTGATCTATTGCAAAATATTACAAGAATCAAGGGCACAGTTCTTCTTTTCAGAAAATGAGCAGTGTTAAGCTGTGTTAGGATGAAGGGGGCGTCTCCTCCTGCACCAGCTGAAATTCAGTATCTGATCTAGTGCATCTCTACCAGGTAAAGACAAGGTGGCTTCATTCAGGAAAACCATGCTCTCAAGATAGTGTCTGTAGGTAAATACACCTCTGCTATGTAATAGAAAGTGGTATGAAATACCTGGCATTTAGCATGTGTAATTTTAAAATTAAACTCAGATCACAAAAAGGTCTGTTGAAAAAACCCACCAAGGTATTCTTCATGTATGTTGTCTTTTACTGACTTACATATGATCACTAGGGAAGAAGATCTGGTAGGCAAAATTAAAGACATTTATACCATAAATGTTATGTTAGCATCACACGTGCCTCTTACAAGTCTTGTGAAGAGAGACAAGCTTGGGTCCTGGAAGCAGCATGCCTGTGTTCACACGGAGACCTGCTGGAGCTGCATAGGTCAGTCCGAAGTAGTGATGATGAGTAGATGTAGTGATGATGATGATAGAGCTGCCTTCCTTCCAGCAGGAGACCAGCTCAAGCACTGTGCACCATGCTGTACTGTGGGATGCAGACCTCTACCTGAACATCTCTTGTAATTTTGGCAAGTCATTTGTAATGATCTTGCAACCACAAGATCAGAAGTGGGCAGAAGCCTGCAGCTCATTCCCTTTTTGATGTGGTGGCATTGCAGGATTGAAAGCAACAGAAAGAAAGAAATGGAACAGAGCATGGTTCAAATATATGTCATACGTATTTTTTTGAAACATTTGTACTATCAACATCTTTCCACACCAACTTCAATAACTGTGTAGGTAATCACTAAAAATGAGGACTGATGATTAATATGGTCACTCAATGGCTTCCTGGAGAGTCTGTTTAAGTTTTTAGAGCAAAGTATACATTTTTCCTACAACTTTTAGCAGCAGCTGTTGCCTATTCTCTCTGAGACTGCTGTGTGGCTTCCTGCAGTATTTCTGAAAGACTATAAGACTGGATTTTGCTACAATCTGGATTTTGCATGGGGCTTTTTTCCTAGAAAATCTATGTGGATTTTAAGTAGTGATAACCTGGCCACTGATGTTGCAGTGATTACAAAAGAAACTCAGAGAGCTGTGAGCAGTAGCAGAAAGCGTGTCTAAGCAAGACATTAGGAAGGATAATTTCCGTAGTGACTGAGAGACATAAATGTTTCCTGTTGATCTGGAAAGGGGTGTGTAGATTTTGCTGTAAATACAGAAAAAGTGCAGAAAAGCTTCGACCCTGAGCAGGAAGGGACTTCCCTACAAGGACACAGTGCACAGCAAGGAGGTGCAAGCCACATTTTTTTTTTCTATCTCATTTCCCTCTGAGTCACTGCCTGAATTTGAAGTCATGGTTTTTTGATTTTTTTTTTTTATTTTTTTTTTACTATTTCAGACATCTCTTTCTATTCAGTGTAGAGGCTGCTAATGCAGCAAGTTTTTTTTGCCAGTTGAAACATCTGTGGGCTGCTATCTTTGGTAAAGAACTGCTTAGCTGGCAGAATCAAAAATCCCGCCTAAGGCAATTCTTTTCAGTGGTCTCTAAAAGAAGTGGTTTGTCTTGGCTCTTGAGAGTGGAACTTCTTTGAAGCCCATTGTCCAGGGGCTATGGCCGAGTATAATTGTATGGGATACCAGGGGGAATCCTTCACCTTTTCTCTCCTTGTCTTGAGACACTGGCACTTCCTTCTGTGCTTCTCAGAGGCTTTCAGGAGTCTTCTTTTTGCTTGCTCTGTCAGTTTGCCCAAGTAAAAAGCAGATACAACTGAAATGAGCAGAACCGACCCATAAGCGATGGCAGAAGTTGTGGAAATCTAACAAATGCAGCACGTGGTGATTGAACACCTCCCAAGCAAGAGACAAAAAAGACTTGGTTGTACAAAGAGCCCCCTATGTAGACAGTACTTTCTAAACAGATGTGGGCAAAGGAAATGTGTACAAACTGCAAGCATTCATACATTGACGGAATTGCTAAAAGATGCTGTACCTCAGGATTGGATGAATTCCTGTCTTCATTTTCTCTCTTACACAGATCACTAAGAAAGATCACAGAAGAAGTGATCATTAGACTTACATGCTAGCTTCATAATCTGTGAGGTTTGCAGGGGTCTTGAGCTTGTTATAATGGGCTTGCTGGATTCTTGCGGATGGGACTGGTTGATTCATGACTCGCTTAGAGAATGAAAGCACAGTTTTTTGGACATGCTGTTCTGAAAGTTGTAATTCTTCATGCTTCCAGTCTGAGTGCAGAGACTGAAAACAAGTGGACGGTGTTTTCAAGCTGCCTGAACTCCCGTTGCTCCAACCTTTGAAAAACAGACACAGTTTTTTTCCACAATGGGAGAGATGGAAATAGTTCACAGCTGGCAAAAATATTAGTAAAATTACGAAGCAGACCAAGTAGAAGTTATGGGACCTCAGCTGTTTGCCTCATAAACCATAGCAAAGATTGAGGGACGGCCTTGCAATTCATCTCATATTTTAGGCAATGTGAAAGGAGATTTGTTGATTTCAGTTCCTGTTTTTAAGAATTTCAGGCAAAGCAGGAAAACATGAGAGGGAAACATGGGTACTGATGGAGTTACTTTCCTATTCCCCTGGTGTGCTTCAGCATGTGTTTTTATGGTGAAGGTGAGTGAAATAGATGTTTATGTTGAAAAAGTAGTTCAGTAAACATATTACTGAGTCCCTGCTGGGTCCCTTTTGGAGTAGCTGGAGCTGACTGTGATCTGACATGGGGAAACTGCTTGGCTCTGTTCATAGAGGTCACCCTTGCAGACTCCCAGCTGCTCAAATCTTGCCAGATTAACCAAATACAGGCCCTTGAGTGTCCTCATCTGCAGCAGCCCTTAGCAGGCATTCTACTGACTCTCCTCATACTTCCAGGGGTAGGTATTATGGCAGCTTTGGTTGAGCACAGGGAGGAAATTGCAAACAAGAGGAGATTGCAAGGTTTATAGTAAGAAACTGTTCAGTTTTTCAGTGTAGTATTTGTTAGTGATGTTGACAATGAAAATCCTACGCTGCCCTTGTTGTGCACAGGGCTGTGCTCCAAACTTTTGCTTCATTATTTGCAGATGCACATGTACAAAATTACTACATAATCTTCTCTTGAGATGACCAACTTATAAAAACTTTAAAGCAGCCACAGCTCATAACTGTCCTTGGAGAGACCTGATGTTGGTCTTTGTCTTTATCCAAGTGACAAGCTCCCTTTTTTAGGCAATTCTTTCTGCTTTTAGGCAAGTGGCATAAACACTGAGCTACTTCCTGAAAAGGAAAATGGAGATAGCCACCTCCCCTTTGCCTGGTTCTACTTTCCTTAGTTTCATTCCATACTTCTTCAAACTGTAGAGAGCAGGCTCTCCCATCAATAGCTGGTAAAACTGGTTAGACTAAGGGCTCCCTCTATAGTCAGTAAATAGTAGATAATGGTGAGTATTCATAGAGAGCCTGCCTTTGTCTTTAGCTATTCCACCTTAGGCTAGAATGGAGAAGTCTCTCCTTAGTGATAGAAGGAGGCTAGACAGAGTTCAGACAGGTGACTTTTGCATTGATAAAAGTGGGCCAGATAGTCCAATCAAATGTTTCCAATAAATTGAATGAAATCTTAAGGGCTTTTGGTGACAAGAAATCATTTTCTGTTTTGGAAAAGAGATCAAGGGAAATATTTTAGATTTGCAGTTCTTTGGGTTGAAGTTGTTTTTTAGCAGATAAGACCGATAATGCTGTCTATATCCTCTGCTGAAGAGAAAGAGACTTGTGCTGCAGAGATAAGGGCCAATTCTGGTGTTGAACCACAACAGATGCAAGAACACATTTACTGAGTCACTATGAAAAGTGCAACCCTACTTGTGGCTATGAAAATTGTAGGTGCTGTATGTATCATGCAACAGAAGTGAGGCTGTGAAGGCCATACTCCTCTTTTTCTATGTCCTCATAGCGATGCAGGTGTTCAAGAGGATACTACAGTATTTTTCTTCTCACAACGTTTATGAGATGAATCCATACAATTATTTCCATTTTGCAACTAGGTAAATGAAGCACCGGAATTATGAATAACACTTCAAGCATCCAGCCATTAATTATGGAAACCTTGTTTTTCTTCCAAAGAGAAGCATTATGCATTGGTTACTATTTGTTGTAGCTGTACCCCCAAACTTCCAATTCTTGGTCTTCACCATGGGGTCTGAAACATAATGATCAGGATGAGAACATGTGGGTGAAAAAAAACAGACCAAAAAAGAACACCTAGTGATTGCGTTGTACTACCTGCCACCTGATCATGGGGAGCCTGTGAATGAGGCCTGCTTGCTTCAGCTACAAGAGGTATCACACGCACAGGCTCTCATCTAGATGGAAAATGTCAACCGCCCAGATGTCTGCTAGGAAAACAAAATGGCGGGCTGCAAGCACTCCTGGAGTGTGCTGAGGATGGTCCGGATATTAGACAAAACAACCAGAGGAGATCATTGCAGAGGTTGAAACTGAAGGCATTCTGGGCTGTAGTGGTCATGCCCTAGTAGAGTCTGTGATTTTGAGGAAGACAAGCCTGACAAAAAGCAAAGTCAGGACCCTGAACTTCAGAAGAGTGAACTTCAGGCTGTTTAAGGAATTACTGGATGAGATCCCCTGGGAAGCTGTCCTTAGAGACAAAGGAGTTGAGCAGAGCTGGCAACTCCCTTCCAACCCAAGCCATTTTATTATTCTGTGAATGTGAGGAATGAAACCTCAGAGGCCACCTGTAAAAAGCTAAGTGGAAAGGGAAGATGGTTAATTTACATGCTAGGAGCAGACATCAAGGGTAGATATGATAAATTCACATCGCTCTGCCTAAATGCTGTGGTGGATCTTGTGTTTGCCCTGTGACAAGCTTGCAGACTCTGGT